GGCTGAACTCTACTGGGCATTGACCCCAACACGGGTGGGATTTAGGAACCTCTAATACTTGAGAGACTTTAATTTGGAACTTTAAACCTACCAGTTTCCACATTAGATGTAGTATTTCATCTCTTAGGTGTCTTGATTTTCTTCCTGCCTTGCCTTTCTCTGTTCCTTCTTTCTTCTTTCCTTCTCTTCCTTCCGTAAGTATTCATTAAATACCTTTAGGGTATCAGGTATCGTATGCCAAAGATACAAAAAGAGGCCTGACAGGGTCTCTGCCTTCAAGAAGCTTACTCTCAAATGGGGGGCGCTAAACAATTATGATATCTGGTGCTAGACTGTGGGCATAGAATACACAAGATGCTGTGGGAATATAGAGGAACAACCGTGATTCACGTTGGGGCCAGAGTGGCAACCTTTGAGCTAAGCCCTGAAGGGCAAATGGGAGTTGGTCAGGTTGAAAGGAAAGGCATAGTGATGAAGAATAGCAGAGAGGATGCTACCAGCAGGAGGACCAGCATGCACAAAGACAGGTGAGGTGGCATGGCGTGTTCAGAAAGGTGCAGGTTGGGACATAGCTGCAAAGAGGGCAGATGAAACCAGGGAGGGGAATAGGGCTCAGATTTCTAAGGGCCATATATGCCTTTCTGAAACATTTGGATTTTGTTCTGAAGTCTTTGTTTGGAGAGCTGTTGAAATAGCAGGTATGGTTAAATAAATGGGTGAATTAAAAATATATTGAGGGAGAATCAGTAGGATCAGTAGGATTTTTTACATGCACAGTAGGACTGATACAGTAGTAGGATTGATCATATACAAATTTCCAGCTTGGGCAGCCACAGATGCTGTTTACAAAGATAGGAAATACTGGAAGAGGAAGTGCAACGGGCTTCAAAGAGAACCCTCTATCAGATTTGACGGGGAGGGGATATACAGGTCTAGAATTCAGGAATGAGGCAGTGTAGGAAATGGGGATTTGGGTAATAGAGTATTTAGATTAAGAAGGTGGAAACCTGAGGACTGATGACATTTAAGACACAGAGGAAAATAAGGCTGAGTGTCTAGAGCCAGAGAAATTGGAAAAATAAATATGTGATCACAGTTTCCTGAGATCTTTTGACTGCTCTTTCATTCTCATCTCTTCTTCATACTTCACATACTAAGGCTTTATCCAAAGTTTTGCATGGAATAGGTACTTGGTTAGTGTTTTTAAAAATGAATCATAGCTTTCTTGGTTCTTTGCTGTTTATCTTGGCTCCCCAGCATCTACAGAATTAATTGCTTTCTTTTTCTTTTAAGCCTTTGCTTGCCATTTGATTTTATAGCTCCTATTTTAGATCTGTAATTCAATCTCAGAGTTGTTGTCCTTTTATGGTTTCTGAGACATTTCTGCCTACCCATCCTTAATTCTCAGTATTCTTCTCTAATTGTTAGCCTCTGTCAACACACAGTAGGAGGGTCTGGTATAGCGCCTTGAATGTTTGGGTGCATCTGGGATTCAGGCTTGTGATCAGGATTACTTTGGAGTTCCTCCTGAGTCTAGAATGCCTTATGCCATGGTTAGTTTGGAAATAATGATTTAGGACTTCATGGCAGTGTGCTAACTGAGAAGCCAGGGGCATGTTTAGATTTAAAACAATTCTTTAGAACACTTAAAATCAGAGAAAAGGAAAAACATAGTCTATATCGGATCATTTGCTATTACTATTTGAAATAGTTTTTAGTGTTCACTGATGGTTGACGTTTTTTTTTCGTTAAAGTCAGTCCACCATTCTAATATATAATGATCGCCAAAGTGAAGTACATAGAGTATGCAGGAGAGCTCACTGGAGTGTGGGAAGAGAATACTAGAAGTTCTGTTTTTCTCACTTTATTTACTTATTTCACCTTTCACCATGAAAAATTCAATCAAACAGAAAATAGAATAATATAGTGGACGTGCTGTTCTCCCCCTCCCCCATGTACCATATGTCTAGTTTCATCTATAATCCATCCACGCCCTCCACCATATTATCTAGGAGCTAATTCTAGAGAGCATTTGATACAATGATTTTAAA